TTAAGTAAATTGTGCACTAAAGATCCACAGCTAGGCCGATTGACACAACGTATTGAAATTAATAAATAAATTAATCTCTGGCAAGTGCTTCAAATATAATTTCGACTTGTTTATTGAGATTAAATTTTAAACAGTGCAGCATACCGAATAGCGTGTGTGAAGTTTGCTTTAAATCGATTTACACAAATCTGCCCCACTGTGCGCAAACGACTCTAAACTTGCCCAAATGAAGTGAAATTCTGCATAGGTTCCAGAAAGATATAAAAATCAGATATTTAAGTTCGTTCAATTTCATGTCAAAATTCCTTCAAAAAGCGACGTCTTTTCGGATACATATGTACCCAAAGTGGTGAAGGGTATCATATAGTCGGCCCAGGCCGACTTTACTACTTTCCTTACTGGTTTATTTTTTTGAACTTGCAAAATAGCAATATTTATGAATTTTTTAAGATATTAAAAATATCATTCAATTCTTGACATTGGCATGAAAATTACATTTATATATAAATGCATTGAAAAAAATATTGCAATCAATTTAAGTGCTAAGAATGGTAAAAATAGATTTATATACCGAAACACACATACTTATACAAAGATAAAACTTGTATGAAAATAAAATGATAATAACATGTAAACGACTTTGACATTATTGATCGGAATATTAAGCCCAATCTTATACATGTCATAATCAATACTAATTGAACCGGAATCGAACTGGAGTTTTCACTATTAGCTTTAAGATTTTTTTATGCTATACTTCTCATAGCAACACAAATAACTTCTCTATTCAAATATTTCTAAGAAATCATCAATTTAAACTAAATATTTACCCAAATGATTTATTGTCAAATTTCAGATGACACAAAATCAACGGCACTTCGGGAAATTAGCAAGCAGTTTAATATTTTTTTCCAGATGCCAATAATATATTCCCTCAAGTTTAAACATTTCCTAAGTGCTAAGTTTTCTTTTGCAAATATTAGAAATTACGTTAGCTTACTTACTCTTTTTTATTTTTTATTACAATACAAAATGCCCCTGAAATTGTCATTGTCAGTCAATCATCAGTCGTGCCTAAACATTTTACAAATGTTTTTATTTTTTCTAATAATTTATAATCCATTAAAAGCCCTAAATAAATAATAAAACAAAACAAAAACTTTGAACAGCGAAGTCGTCTCCTACAACTATTATGAACGTGTGTGTATACAAATAAAATAAATATTTATATGTATGTGTACCGATATGTCATAAATAAAGTCAGGTGTCTGAATATTGGCTGCGAAAGTACGAAAATGAAAATGTTAATAAATTTAATTCAATAAATCGAAATTGTCACCTTTTCTAATCCATTTAATTTCTTACGTACATAAATAGAGTTCCCAAAAGTACAAACGAACGAACGAAGGAAAAAACAAACCGCCAGAATAAAAAAAATTGCATCACATGACGAAGACACTATTTTATTTTACCGCAAATTTTTTCCAGAAACATGTGAGTTTATTTATATTAATGTTTATGGTATTTTATTTTTTAATATTGAAACTTGTTTTTTGTTTTCGTTAGGTGAGGGATTCCACCAACTGAGATGTGAGAGAAGGAGTTTCTAATAATATTTTAATATTTTCATACAACTGGGAAATAAATTTATTTACATCAGGTTCATGTGTAAAATTGTAAATTGTTTTTTTATTGACAATTCGATACAAAAACAAAAAAATATGCTAAACCAAGCCAAAAGTCAGCAATTTTTAAACGAATAAAAATATGCCAAAAATATCAAAATGCCAATATAGGGCGGTACCGATATATAAGTGCTATATGAAAACATGGAATATATTGTTCCGTAAAAAATAATATTGTTCCCTAATGAATAATGGATTATTAAAATTGAAATTTCACTGAAATGTAGTACCAGAGGAAAACTAAAATATATCATTTTATGTAAACCTTAGAGTAAGTTATTAAAACCTTTATACGGCATTTACATTAGAAAATTTTACCGGGTTAACCTACCTTATGAGGATTTATTTGGTGTATATTCAACGGAATTGACAATTTGAACCCACTGGGTTAACCAAATCCGGTACAATGTAAACGTACTTTTATGGCAAAAATTACATATTTTTTCCAAATAGGGAAATTTTTTTCGTTTTAAAGGGCAGGTCATACTCACACCTTCCAATATTTTTACCAAAGTGTTTGGATTCTTAAGTTTCAATATAGTTTTGGTATCGAATCCCATATAAAAATTACAAATCCATAACGAAAAAACTGAATTTTGGCCGGGAAAATCCATTTCTAAACCACAATACGGCGAACCTAGAAACTTCAACGACTCCAATCGAATTTTTCAAGTTTTAAAAATCGATGCAAATCGAAACTGTGAAATGATATGAAAGGTCCTAGTTAAGTAAAAATATGACGATATTAAAGTTCGGGTCAAAATTTTCTGAAGGGGATTGGTACAAATACACTATGGGTTTCAAATTGAAATGTCGATGGGGCTCAATGTTGTCGTATCAAAGCGAATGTAAAATATATACATAGCCAGATTATAAATAGATATATTTTTTGTTATTATTTAGGGGAAATCGAAGTCGGAGTAGCTGCACGAATACGTATGGGTTCGAAATTTGGCCCAAATGACTCAACTTAACAAACTGATATTTATTAGGTGATCGAAAAAATAACTCGATGATTAGTTTTTATTTAGTCGATGTATAACCCATATGTTAGAGACAATGAAGTTGTGTTCGACACAAAAAATATTTATAAGCCTAAACCTACATTGAGAGGAGGTCTTCTGCCCATCTAATTCGATTGGAAATAACGCCTAAAACTTCCAAAAACCTTAAATCGCTGATAACATACATTACTGATTATATCAATAAGTAAAAAAGGGTCAGCCGGTGTTGCCTATAGATATATATCCTTAGTCTATGGTTTGCGGAGGTCTTCGGAATTACACACAATGTTGTTATTCACCTTCCCCTAATATTGAATTTATATATATTTATAAAATTGACCCTTTTGGGGACTTGATAAAAATAATAGGTTGTGCAAAGTTTGGTTCAAATCGGACATTCCACTCAACTGATAACGGATTTATAAATATTCAAAATTGTGAACTTGATCTAGGCTTTGTAAATATAATATGTTGTTTGGTTCACCTGATATTGGATTTATAAATATTGTAAATTGTGACCCTTTATGGGGAGATACCAGAAGGAGTGGACCAATGGTCCCATCTTCGGTATTTATCAAGGCTTCGTAAAGATAATAGGCTGTTCAAAGTTTGGTTCAAATCGGACATTCCATTCGCCTAATATTGGATTCATAAATATTGAAAATTTTGACCAATTGTGGGGGAGGTACCATGAGAAGTGGGCGAATGGGTCCCATTTTCGGGCTTGATCTAGGCTTTGTTAAGAAAGTAGGTTGTTCAAAGCCTAATATTGAATTTATACATATTGAAAAAGTTTGACCTTTTGTTGGGGAGGTACCATAAAGAGTGGGCCAATGGGTCCCATTTTCGGGTTTGATCTAGGTTTGGTAAAAATAAATAGGTTAGGTTTGAATCAGATAGTCGCATCTTATTATAAAATTAATTTTTTGCACAATTTTGACTATTTTGTGGAGGGAGGTGGATAAGGAGTGGACCGATATTCCGCCTCTTCGAACGTTAACTAAGTTTGGAAGAAATATTACAATGTGCAAAGATTGGATGAAATCGGTAACTCCCTTCGATAGTTATTATGCGCACCAGCCGACCTGGCAGACGGACGGACATTTGTAAATCGACTCGAAATTGTCTAAAACGGATTTGGTCCAAAGAAACATGGGGTCTAAAACCAATATTTCGATAAGGCACATTTTTGTCGTATAAAAATTGGGCCTGTATCAAATTTGAATTTAATGTTATCCATAAGATCTACAATAAATAGGGAATAATCTTATAAAATAGAATAATAGTAGATACATGCAGATTCTGGAACATAACACACATATATTCACTGTTAAGCTCTATTCAATTTCACTGAATTTTAGAAGTAATAGAATAAGTTGCAGATTTATGATTTATCAAAAATTTAACAGATTGGGAACGAACTACTGTCAGGACAATACAATCCATCATTGCTTTTTATTTAAGTGAATTAGAAATATATCTTTACACAAAAAAATGTCAAATTTTGAAAATGTTTGAATCTTTGTAGTGGATATTATTGACTTGTATTCCAAATTGATACTATTTCGGAAGGTATATACAGTGTGCAAAATTTGGACAAAATCGCAGACTCAATTTTAATTTTTTGAGATCAGTGATTTCATATATCCTTATTCTTTGTAATATGTGGACAATGATGTAAATTTTCGAACAGAATTTTAGTTGGTTAAAAATAGTACTGTGTGCAGAATTTGATCCAAGTTGAACTCCTTTTTCGAAATTTATGTAAATATTGGCGAAATCTCTTTTATATAATTATTCCGATTATCTACATTATTTGAAGCATATTTTTATATAAAGGAATTTATTGCTTCAAGGAATGTATTCAATACGAATACCTTATTTATTACATAATTCTATAAATGTTTATAAATGTCCTATGCCCAATTGTTCTTATATAAATAAACACGCACTCGATTAATATCAAGTTCCAACAAATTTGCCACACGATTAAATTTAAAATATTTAAACAATTTTAATTTTTTCCTCCGCAGAATATAAATTCCCTCATTTAACTTTAGTTTGGCTGCATTCATTTTTCACAAACAAATTTAGTTTTCAGTTTTTTTGCTAAATTCGAATTATTTTTAAACGTCACGTATTGTAAATATTTGCTTAAGGTTTGTTGTCAAAATTAAATTAATTACAAAAGTGTTAGGACAGTTTAAACTAATTTCAAAATTTTTCATTTTATTTACAATGTTTTTGTTTTACAAAAATAAATGTGACATTGTGTAGTTTTTTATTTTATTTATTTATTTTTTCTTTTTACCTTGGCAACCTAATAAGACTGCTGCAAAAATAACTACAAATTTTGGCAACATTTTGAAGATATTTTTTTTCTTAAATATTTTTTATAAAAAATATTTTTGTTGTGATTTTGTTTTGACTAGTTATGGTTCGCTTCAACTATTAGAGGTAGAATACACTTCAAGGACGTTCCATTAAAAGGATATCGTTGCCTTCGTTCATTCACTTGCTCATAACAATTTTTCAAATAATTAAAAAAACGACCGCCATTCGCCTTCGTGCGAATCGAGAACAATTATCGCCGTTTTACACTTCTATCGCTTGTCGCAGTGTTTAACGTACTGAACTTCAATGATCTGCCAACGGTAGCATGAAAACGCTTTGCTATTTAGATTTCTACGCTTGCTATTATTCTTCTTCTTCCGTTGCTGCTTTTGATTCACAGGTAAAATATATAGCCTCACTCTGTCTATTGGTAATACGGTATCGGACAGAATCGATAACAAATCCCCACATTCGTCAGAAACTTACTTCGCAAATTCGCCGAATTCACTTCGATTTTTCTTTGAGTGGTGGTGCTGTTGCTGCTGACCGGCAAGGGGGGATTTTTTTTGTCTTTCGAATTCGCATTAACTTGAAATGAGTGACAGAAAAAATCCGATTGATAATTGTTGGTAATGAAGATGTTAACGAATGTTAGAAGTGTTAACTCATCTTCTTGTAGTTGTTGTCGTTCGTTGTGGTAACAGAACAAAATATTAAGTAATAAGTTTGAGATTTTAGACATATCGTACCAGCAGATTTTTTATAATCGAATATCGAAGCAGAGGCGGAATAAATGATCTGTTGGGTTGCAACATAGGATACATTCTGAGTGCCAAATTATGGAAAAGGGTTGATAGGACTCTATGGTGTTTAAGGATGCAACATCGCACTTTCATGTGGAAAGTGACATGGTAAAATCCTGAACATAGCCCCAAAAGATCCCTTGTCAATGACTGATGCTGCATGAGCTAAATCATCAATAAATTGGGTTCGGGCTGAATTTCTATGGTAAAGCGGAAACAATACCAAAGTCAACAATCTGATGGAAATAACGAACAAGTCCACACAGTATGATACATCTATTCAACTACCCTTCAGTTGCAGACTGTAAAAATGTCAACTTTTTATACCCTCAGCTTTTAGGCTAATGAGGGTATATATACTTTGATACGGTGAACATGTGCCTCATCGAAATATTGGTTTTAAACCCCATGTTTCTTTGGACCAAATCCGTTTCAGAAAATTTGGAGTCGATTTACACATGTCCGTCCGTCTGTCTGTCCGTCTGTCTGCGCACGATAACCCTCGAAGGGAATAATCGATTTCATTCAAACTTTACACATCTTAATATTTCTTCCACTTTCTTTAAGGGGACCCCCCCCCCCATTCTCGGGGTCAAAATTTTTGTTGATATAATTCGAATCTACACTGATTAAAGAATGTCTCTACAAAATTTCAAGTGAAAATCTCAAGAACTGTTGAAGATATATCCGATTTATTGTGTCAGCATCAAGTGACGGCTGAAGGGCTTCTCAAACTTTAAACGCGTTTTTCTCTAAACATTTTTTTGCGAATGGCGGGCACGATAACTCAAAAACTAATAATCCAATCGGTTCCAAATTTTGTAACGTTTCTCTGAGAGTTTATAGCTCTCGTATGAACTAGGATAAAGCCAATCGGTGAAGATCTTCCTTATTTTTTAACTTGGTTTTTGGTAAAAAATCCGCGATTTTTCAAAAATATTTTTTCAAAGGGCCACCATTTTCTTAATTTTAGAGCGAAGTCAATAATCCTAGTTCATACGAGAGTCAGACATGTACTCTTTCTAACACCGTTGGAATTTTCGGATTCCGATGTTCCAGTGAGGAGTTATCATGCCCGCCATCAAAAATAAGGACTTTTCTTTAATTACAAAAAACAACAACAAAACAATAACAAAATTTTTTTGTAAATTATTTTTCTTCTCTTTTAAATCTTCAATTATATATGTGCAAAGTTACAAACCTTAACAAGCATTGGTATTGATTTACCAGCCCATTGAAAATCTTGAAAAAATAAAATCGAGAACTTAGTTTAAATTCGAAGATGGGGAATATCGACACCTCTTCTGGTACCTCCCCCACAAAATGGTCAAAAGTGTGCAAAAAATTAATTTTATAATAACATCCAAACGGACTATTCGATTTGAACGAAACTTTGTACAACCTATTACCCTTACTAAGCCTAGATCAGGTTTGAAGATGGGACCCATTGGTCCACTCCTTCTGGTACCTCCCACACAAAGGGTCAACATTTTCAATATTTAAAAATTACCTTTACCAAGCCTAGATCAAGTGTGAAGATAGGACCCATTGGTCCACCCCTTCTGGTACCACCCCCACGAAGGTTCAAAATTTTTAGTATTTAAAAATTCAATATGAGGCGAATGGAATGTCATATTTCAACCAAACCTTGCACAACCTTTTATCTTTACCAACCCTATATCAAGTCCGAAGGTGGGACCCAGTAGTCCACTCCTTCCGGCACCTCCCTCACAAATGGTCAATATTTTATAGAAGTTTATCAACATTAAATCGGAAACCTCTTTGATTTATTTCTTATATAAAGCTAATAATAAAATTTGTGTGTAATTCCGAAAACCTCCGCAAATAATAGACTGGGGGTATATATCTGTCGGCAACACCGACTAACACTTTTTTACTTGTTTTAATTGAAAATTTATTCTGACCAAGCAAAAAAGTGTCAGTCGGTTTGCAGAAGCAGTGGACTTATATTACCCATCTTCGAACTTGAACTAAGTTTTGAAGAACTATTACGATGTGGAAAGTTTGGATGAAATCGGTTAGTCCCTTCGAGAGTTATCGTGCGCACCAGCCGCCCAGACAGACAATTATAAATCGACTTCAAATTGTCTAAAACGGATTTTGTCCGTATCGAAGTGTATATACACCCATTAGGCTGTTAGGAGGAATTTTATCCTCTGTGAAAACGAAATACCAAATTCCGGATACTCAGGTTGGATAATTATAACCACTGCAGTTGGAAAATAACCCTAGGACTCCCAAGAAATTTCTAAAATGGGACAGGTCAGCTATATGGGAGATACTGCTCCTAGGACGATCAGAATACTAATATTTCTAGCACTTATTGCGAAGCCTTTATTTTATAGGGCGTAATTTAATTTTGGAATATACTTCCATTCACCTCACATATTATGCCAAATTTTGCTCACGAAGATATTCTACAAAATCGGGATGAGTCTATTATATTATCAATTATTGGTCCATCTCATAAAGTAACACCCCATCTCTGCCGTTCTTAACCTACAATTTTCGCCTGAAAAGATCACATTTTTCCAGTAGTCCACTGTCCAAGTTTTTTGCTCGTTGGAAAATGTTATCCCTGGCTTTACGGGTTTTTTACTAGTGCAGAACTTTTATTCTGTATTCCACCTATAACTATTAGGGTCGTACCTAAATTCATGCGTATGCGTACGATATTATTCACCATGTATTTCAATGAATGTTACCCAAATACGCATAGCGTATAAAAATAAAAAGTTGAATGAACATTTTCAACATTGACAATGCGTATTTTGAATTTTTTGTTTTTTGAAAATTGAATTCCAGTCATTTGAAAAATTTGTTTTTCTATACATGTAAACAGTTATTTAAGAAAATGTTCTCATCCATTTTCGCCGTTTTCAATCGATACACAAGTAAATAAGGTCCTTGCGTATTTGGGTAATACGGATGTTCAACAAACCCTATAAAGGTGAGAAGGTGTGTATTTTAGTACGCAACGCACTGAATTTAGGTACGACCCTTAGATTCAACGTTTCACAGATCTCTGTTTCAAAGTTTGCAATGATCTATTCGTAAATAAATCGAAATTTCTCCTTAACTTTTATTTTTTATTGCATTTAATTATGGTCTTATGATTTTTGTTTTTCATTTCAACCGAACATTTAGTTCAAATTGACAACTAAATAAAACACACACAAAATAAATTATGTGCACATATCTTAATTAGGTCTTCGTTTTCGTTGCTTCCAGAGCTCTAAGCTTTGTGCAAATAATAATAACAAAACGGAACGGAACACATGATGGAATTTAATTTAGCAAACCGTCGCAACACTTACTGGTCGTCATACGAATTTCTTGAATCCCATTAATGAAACCTAAGCTCTGCTAATAAATAAAGTAAATATTTTCATTATATAGTAATCACATATATACATACGAGTATGTACATAATACTGATGTTGATGATGATGTTTCTTTGCACTTATTTAGCATTCGCTCGCAATCACAACTCTGCTGCTGCGACTGATAATGAAGTGCAAATAAAACTCTAGGAATTTGCAAAAGAATAACTTATTCGGTTGCTATTCGATGGTAAATTCTCATAACGTTTTTCTTTACTTTTATTTCAGTGTATAAATGTTTATAACATATCAGATTTATGTCGAATTTTAAATACTATTAAAATATAAATATAAATTCGGATGGCTCTATTATATTGTACGAGGGTTTCAATCTAATACAACTGAATTCATTGCAAAAATGTGGCTAAATCCTTGAAATACTGAAAATTGATACAGTTGTATCCAATTTTCAATTTCAGTTTTCTATCCTAAATAATGCTAACTCTATTATAATCATTGCTGCAAATTTTTCTGAGATTTACAATACTTAGAGGCACTTTGGGTAATGTGGACTATGCGTCTAATGTGGACCACCCTTATATATTAGAAAATGCTTGAAATATGACAGTACCGTCTTGATATATGATTTCCTAATTAGTAAAAACAAACATCTAACATGATTTTTAGTACACATTCGCAATGAAATCCGTGATTTGAAAAGTTTTTTAGCAAAAGAGTTAACAAATTTGGTTTTCTCTAATATAAAGAACAAAAAAACGCGGTATAAACAGAAAAAAGTTTGGAAACTTCCATCTCTATTATGATCACAAGTTAAATGTTGTTTCGATCTGGCAACATCTTCATATACAAGCAGGTGTTCAAAAAAGACGCATC